AGTGGCGTGTCGCGAAGAAAAATTAGTGCAAGTGACTGTTTACATCTAAGAAAGAGTCCGCAATGTCAACATTGCAGGATAAGATTCGCGCCTATAGACCAGAACGCTCATGTTGTAGAAATGTCTATTTATTTAATAATAGTAGGCAGATTTTATTTTATTACGTTTGTGTAGGCTGTTTCTAAGTCGATGAAGTCTATCAACATGTTATACCAAATCCCACGAAAGGCCTTATATTGCTTCTATCTTAGATGTAGTTTTGATTTTTGCGTATTGCTGAGTTGTGTTGGTTTTAATGTAGTTCGAGGTTTTCTTGTACTTTGGTTTAGCTTACATCTGTCAAATTATTTCAGTTAAGTTTAAGATAAGTTTATAGTTTAGTTTTCGATTTATTAGGGACGAATAATTTCTACTGGGGTTAGAATCTTAATCAGTTTACTTTATCTTAGTTTAGTAAGTTTGGATAATTTAATATAATTATATTCCAGTTCACATTTGAGTTTCTTTTTAGTTTATTATTATGTTTTATTAGTTTTTCGGTAGCTTAATATTAGTTTTAGATTAGGTAGTTTAGGTAGTTTATGTCTCTTTAGTCTTAATCTAGTCTTTGATTTATTAGTTATATGCTGCTTTTGCTTCATTTTTTCACTTGAATTTCATTTCGATAATGCAGAGTTGTTTGAGTTGTTCCGCAAATTTTGGTAGTTCAGGAGGTTTGCGTGGTTGCCCATTTTTCGGAATTAATCTTTCTTATTGGTTCTATTTCTCTTTAAGTTGTTACGCACTATTGTATGACCAAAGATTAGCGTATTTAAAATTACTTTTCTTCTTGCGCGCTCGACTATTTATTTAGTTTTTATTTCCTCTGTAATGCCCAAAATGTACAATCTTTATTATCATCTGTAGGGTAATTCGCAATGATGGTGTTTTGTGCGTTGTTCTGAACCTTTAACGCGACTGTTTCCCCTTGCAGCAATCAAGATAAGCAGCAATACTTTAAGAAAAACTTGTTACTTCAGTTCTTGTGAACTTATTGGCAGTGCGATCTTGTCATTTATTTTTTATGTCTCTACAAATTTAAATAGTTTTTATTGACAATCTACACGAAAGTACACTTTTTTGTACCTGTTTGGTAGCAGTTTAAGGAGGAGCGTCTTTTGATTTACAAAAAGTAACTAAATGACCTACTGCCGTTGTTGCTAAATTTAAGGTTTTCAAATAGCATGCTGTATAGATCGCTTATAGGGAAAACTAAATATTTTTCTACGGTGTTAGAAGACGGTGGCACAGTAGTCATTTGTAAATGGATGTGTGCAATCCTTTATACACGGCATAAATACATTGGTGGATACGGTACACACGCTCATAAAAATCTCCTGATTAGAAACATTTAAAAACCGAACGAGGCCCTATCTTGCAACTTGAATAAGGGGTTATCTGCTAGCAAACTAGTACAAGAAAAACATGTTTGTGCAGATGTTCCATAAAAAGGTATTCGAATATATAAAAAGTCAGTGAGAAAAACTCGCAGAACTGTAGTAGTCAATTGCACAGAGTACGCTTTTTGCGGGCTTCAAGAAAGAAGCTCGTTTTTTCAAGTGGACATGACTGAAAGGAGTTTAGGTTAGGCTGTACGGTAGGCAACGTCACCATTCCACTAAAGCAGGCAGTATTGCCGGCAAAGGCATGGGAAGGGACTGGAATGGCCATTTCTTACTTATTAGTCGTCATCAGCCAGTCATACCTAGTCACTCA